CTTTCTTTCTTTCTTTCTTTCTTTCTTTCTTTCTTTCTTTCTTTCTTTCTTTCTTTCTTTCTTTCTTTCTTTCTTTCTTTCTTTCTTCTTTCCCACAGTGCTTATGACTCACTTCCCATTAGCCCAGTAAGCAAACAGACTCTTGCAGTCAAGGATCTCGGTTTCAGTTCTTAGCACCAAAACCAGGAGGATAGCAGGTGTCAGAGATTAGGTCTTGGTGCAGGTTGGGGTCTCCTAAAGCAGATGACAGGATGGACACTGGGGAGTGCGATGTTTATTAGGGATCACCATCTATGAAAGGGTGGGCAGGGAGAGATGTCCACCTAGCATGTGGCAAAACTAGCAAAACCTAAGCTGTCCTGGTAGGGAGCTCGGGGGTAATGTTGCCCAGAAGTACATCCTTCACTGACCTAAATGGCCTCATCCTTCTGGATTTGCATGTCACAGTCACTGGATGCAGGCTGTTTCAGGGAGGGCAAAGAGGTTCTCTATTGCCACGGGAAACACTAAAAGAAATGACGCCTGGGCACTCAAAACTTCAGCTTGAAGAAAATGAACAGGATGAGATTAATACCACTGGATGTCAAGATTGATTATAAAGCCACAGTAGCAAAGACAGTAAGATATTGGCATAGAGATGGGCAGATATACCCTTGGAACTAAAAAGGTTCAAAGAACCTTTCAAATTGCCACCCACATACGGCAATTTGATTTGTGCAAAATGCGATTACGGTACACTGGATGAGAGAATGGTCCTTGAATGAGTGATGCTGGGCCATGGGCTGTTGTGTCAGTCAAGGTCCAGTGAGGAAACCAGAAATCACACCACTTATTTTAACAGAGACACCTGAATATGAGGAATGTGGTACATAACTTAGGGAATTGCAGTGGCAAAAAGGACACAGGTAGTTACCAGAGAGTGCATGCAGGAGGCAGCTTCCAGTGCTAGGCTGAGTAGTCTGAGAGGAGGGGCTTGTGATTATTAGAACCCAGAAGCTTGGAGGAGAGGTCCATCAGATGGGGTGCGGGGCCCCCGGATCTCAGAGGATGGGGTACCAGCTGGCAAGACTGATTCCCTGCACAATGGGGCTTGTTCTGGGGGTATAGAAATAACTAGAAACCAGAACAACTACTACTGAACAAGGCCATTGCTGTGTTGAGGGTCACTGCAGGAGTGACACTAACAGGCGTAACAGAAAGGAGCACGTTCCTGGTCCCTCTTGAACTTCTAGTCTCCTTCCATGGTGTCTTGCTGGTGGGATGGAACAGGAGGCAGGGTGGCAAAAGAGACAGGGGTTCATTGAGTCCCACCCTAACATCACAAAGCAAATAGAAAAAAGGAGGGTTTTTAACCCAGAAAATAGCATTAAGCAATACAGCACCGATATCAACACTAAAAAATGAATCTTGATCACAACCACATTATACACAAAAATCTATGCCAGAGAGATTTTTAGTTTAATTACGAAAGGAAACATATAATCCTCTAGAAGAAAACAGACATTATAAGAGAATATTTTCAAGAGATATAGAGAGAGTGAAAGCAATAAAATGTTAATAGAGGATGAATCTAGGTGAAGAGCATATTAGTATTTACTGTACCATTTGATAACTTTTTGTGGTTTGAACTTTTTCAAAATAAAAATTTCAAGCAAAAGAAACAGTCTTTTGACTCTGATCAATGACAATAAAAAGATATAGTCGTATCCCCATTTTCTAAATTACTTTCCAACTGGTTCTACTTCTAGAGACACTATTTGTCAACATGCTTGTTCAATACCAGTGTTAGTACACTTTGCCCAATAACTGACTTAAAAATCTTCTTTGCCAGTAGAATAAAACTTAAACTTCAAGAGCAATTGAATAATTTCAATTCCAGTAGGAAAACATTATTCATTCTGTTTTTATGGTAATAACTCTAAGATGATTTGATTTGACTGCTGCTAGGGCCAGACTAACATTGACTTAGTATCACATTTAAATTAATACAAGTATGGTGGCCGGAATGATTTTTAAATATTTTAGATATTTACATTGTCAAAGAAAAGTCAAAAGGAAATGCAATGAAAACTAGCAAGTTCTTAAATGCTTCTCTTCCAGTGATCTCTCTTTGTCTCCTACACATTCTCTACAAATCCCAAAATGCTTCTCTAAACCTGAAACATCTCTCATTTCTCAGTTCCAGTGCAAGCTCATTTTCTCCATGCAGTTTCCTGCATTTTTAAAAAAGTTTATTTCTTTACTTATTTTGGGAGACAGAGAGAGCACAAGCAGGGGGAGGGGCAGAGAGAGGGAAAGAATCCCAGAGCAGGATCCTTGCTATCAACACAGAGCCCTCTGCGGGGCTTGAGCTCACAAACTGTGAGATCATGACCTGAGCCCAAATCAGGAGTCAGCTGTTTGACCGACTGAGCCACCCAGGTGCTCCAGTTTCCTGCATTTTAAATTCCACTTTTTCCTTCCTCTACTATGTGCTTCCATTTTCAGTGTGGTCATTCAGTGATCCAGGTTTCCTTCATTGCGTGACCTCACAGTCTCCTCAGGCAATGTCATCATCTGCATGAATGAGGTGTGGTTGATCTGGATTCCAGTAGAAAGGAGGAATAGAATATCGAGGAGGTAGTCCAAAGCCTCATATCAGAAGTAGCGTATAAAACTTCCTTCCACTTGTCTGTACTTACATGACCACACTCAAATATAAGGGAGTCTGAGAAAAGTGATTTCGTTCTGTATCCAGGAAGAAGGGATGAATAATGAATAGGTTTGTCGGGTAATCATCATAGTTTCTACACAATACCCATTATTCTATAAATTAAAAAAAAAAACTTGAAGATTAGTAAGGGAGTGGGGTGCATGTGTCTAGGATTATAGTTGTGAAGAGGCCGATGGTTGTGAATGGCCCATGCTTTACTGCCTATCTGCAAGGGATTTTACTGTGTACTTATGTGCTCAGTTCAAAAACATCTCTTGATCATCTGCTATGCGGTAGGTACAAAGTTAGACACCGGCATTACAGATCCGAATATCACATAATTGCTTCTTTGGAGAGTTTGTTATTCAGTGGAAGAGACAAACATATTAAGATGATGTCAATATTCTGTGGTATATTAAAGGGACTTTTTGATGGCAGACGATACATTTGATTTAAAGTAATGAATTTTATTCTCAAAGATGTTTCTATTCACATTTTTCCAGTCAGTAACTTCAGTTAACATTTATTTCTGCTTATATTATAACTCCTTTTTTGCCCATCCAAAGCATTCCTTCTATCCATGCGGTTCTATTGGCAGTCCCCAGTCATGGATGGGCAGTCACTTCCTGTGTGGTAACTGGGCTAGAGATGATCACGTGACAAAGGTCAGAATTCTCACCCAATCAGAATTCTCACCCAGGGAGCTTTTCACAACTGATCTGGGGAAAGAGTACTTTCCTTCCTGGCTGCAGAACTATTAGGATGTGTGCTATCCATAGCTGACTGCCATGTCCCCTGTCCTGTGAAGAAACCTACAGCTTCAGAGAACTTGCAGAGAGAATCAGAAACAAGAGACAGAGGCAACTGTCTGATCTAGTCTTTAAGGGTGCCTGGGTGGCTCAGTGCGTTAAGCATCTGACTCTTGGTTTCTGCTCAGGTCATGATCTCACAGTTTTGTGAGTGGGATCCCCACATCAGGCTCTGCGTTGACAGTGTAGAGCCTGCTTGGGATTCTCTCTCTTTCCCTTTCTCTCTCTGCCCCTTTCCTGCTCACACACTATCTCTGTCTTTCTCAAAATAAATAAACTTAACGAAAATTTTAAAAAAGATTCTAGTGTTTTAGTTCTTGTCATACCTATGATCATGTGGTTTGGGGTTGTGAGCCAATAAAATCCTCCTTTTTGGTTTAAATTAATTTGAGCTGGGTTTCTCTCATTTTTCAATCAAAGGAGTCCCAGATAATTCAGTAATGGAATGTGTGTGTGTGTGTGTGTGTGTGTGTGTGTGTGTGTGTGTGTATTTTTAGGATAGAATTTTTCTAGTAATAAATTTTTTTCTAACTTTTGCAGTAAAGGCAAAATGAAAATAAGATGCTATTTCAAAAGTGGAAATAAATGACTATGAATGACCTAGGTATATCAAGGCAAAATGCACAGCATCAGAATTCATTTAAAATCTATTTTAAAATCTGAAAATTCTCCAGGGGCGCCCGAGTGGCTCAGTTGGTTGAATATCTGAGTTTGGCTCAGGTCATGATCTTGTGGTTCGTGGGTTTGAGCCCTGCATTGGGTTCTGTGCTGACAGCTCAGAGCCGGGAGCCTGCTTCAGATTCTGTATCTCCCTCTCTCTCTGCCCCTCCCCTGATCGTGCTCTGTCTCTCTCTCTCTCAAAAATAAATAAACATTAAATTTTTTTAAAAAAAATCTGAATATTCTCCAAAAATCTACATAATAAAACAAAAAAATTATAAATTAATCTCTTAGATTTTAAAAGTGGGAATTTCATATTAAGTCAAGTTGGGGACCTATAGCTCTTGTCTCCAAGTACTAGATTCTATTTTTATAGTGTTAGGAAATGATTCAGTTGCAAACATTGGTGCTTTTAAAAAAATATGGTTATTATGATAGCTGAAGCAAAACAGGTGTGAAAAAAGGACATTTTAAACTTGCAGCTCCTTAGCCTAAATTAACTGTACCAGCCATGTGTTAAATATTACCTCATACTTTCTATACACCAATAATGAAACAACAGAAAGAGAAATCAAGACATCGATCCCATTTATAATTGCACCGAGAACCATAAAATACTAGAAATAAACCTACCTAAAGATGTAAAAGATCTGTATGCTAAAAACTATAGAAAACTTATGAAAGAAATTGAAGAAGACACAAAGAAATTGAAAAATATTCCATGCTCATGGGTTGGAAGAACAAATATTGTTAAAATGTCAATACTACCCAAAGCAATCTACACATTCAGTGCAATCCCAATCAAAATTGCACTGGCATTCTTTGTGGAGCTAGAACAAACAATCCTAAAATTTATATGAAACCACAAAAGACCCCGAATAGTCAAAGTTATGTTGAAAAAGAAAACCAAAGCAGGAGGCATCACAACCCTGGACTTTAACCTCTACTACAAAGCTGTAATCATCAAGACAGTATGGTATTGGCACAAAAACAGACACATAGACCAATGGAATAGAATAGAGAACCCAGAATTGGACCGACAGATGTATGGCCAACTAATCTTTGACACAGCAGGAAAGAGTATCCACTGGAAAAAAAGACAGTCTCTTTAGCAAATGGTGCTGGGAGAACTGGACAGCAACATGGAGAAGAATGAAACTGGACCACTTTATTACACCATACACAAAAATAAACTCAAAATGAATGAAAGACCTAAATGTGAGACAGGAAACCATCAAAACCCTAGAGGAGAACACAGGCAACAACCTCTTTGACCTCAGTTGCAGCAACTTCTTACTCAACACGTCTCTGAAGGCAAGGGAAATAAAAGCAAAAATGAACTATTGGGACCTCATCAAGATAAAAAGCTTCTGCACTGCAAAGGAAACAATCAACAAAACTAAAAGGCAACCAACACAATGGGAGAAGATATTTGCAAATGAAATATCAGATAAAGGGTTAGTATCCAAGATCTTTAGAGAACTTAACCAAACTCAATACCGAAGAAACAAATAAGCCAGTGAAGAAATGGTCAGAAGAAATGAATAGACACTTTTCCAAAGAAGACATCCAGATGGTCAACAAACACATGAAAAGATGCTCAATGTCTCTCATCAGCAGGTAAGTACAAATCAAAACCACACTGAGATACCACCTCACACCAGTCAGAGTGGCTAAAATGAACAACTCAGGAAACAACAGATGTTGGCGAGGATGTGGAGAAATGGGAACTTTCTTGCACTGTTGTGGGAACGCACACTGGTGTAGCCACTCGGGAAAACAGTTTGGAGGTTCCTCAAAAAATTAAAAAATAGATCTACCCTACGACCCAGCAATAGCACTACTAGGAATTTATCCAAAGGATAGGAAAGTGCTGATGCAGAGGGGCACTTGTACCCCAATGTTCATAGCAGCTCTGTCAACAATAGCCAAATCATGGAAAGAGTCTAAATGTCCATCAACTGATGAATGGGTAAAGGAGATGTGGTTTATATATACAATGCAACACTACTTGGCAATGAAAAAGAATGAAATAGCCCCACAGTGCTATTTAGAAAAGTTACTAAATGGAAAATCTAATCACCCCATAGGAACTGGCTTTTAAATAATACTTAGAAAATATAAGGTGGCTTTTAAATTCTTTTTTAAAATTTTTTTCAAGTTTATTTATTTTTTGAGAGACAGAGACAGAGCGCTAGTGGGGGAGGGGCAGAGAGAGAGGGAGTCACAGAAGCTGAAGCAGGCTCCAGGCTCTCAGCTGTCAGCACAGAGCCTGACGCGGGGATCAAACCCACGAACCGTTAAGATCATTACCTGAACTGAAGTTGGATGCTTAACCGACTGAGCCACCCAGGAGCCCTGCTTTTAAATTCTTTTAACTCTTGTTCCTGTCTGTCTCAGACATCATCTCTTAGTCCCTCTCTTGTTACCTACCCCTGTCCAGTTATACTGTGGTTCCTTCCATTTCTTTGCCTCTGTTTTGTCTTGGGTCCCAGTACTTCCCTTTCTGCATGGCCAACTTTCAGATGTTAACTCAACCATTGCTTCTTCAGGGAGGCCTCTCTCACTGCCCTGGTCAGCTTTGTTGCCTCTGTTTACAAAACTTGCATCTGGTAGATATTGCATCTGTCTTTTTGCTGCTGTATCCCCAGTGCCCATGTTGGGGCCTGGAACAATACATACCTGTAACATATTGAATTAATGTTCCCGTAGACCAAGCAGTTGTGAAAGGGATTCGATTAATATAAGAAATCTGGAACTGTACTCCATCAGCACTATAACTCAATAGGAACTCTTTCTTGGGAGAATTCTTGGCTGGAGTTTCTTATTTTGATGACTGAGTGGCCACATTTCCATGGAACAAAGTGGATTTACAACTTTCAGCTCATTGATTGGGTGGTAAAACAAAAAATTAACATAGATATTGCACAAAGTGTTTGTTTTAACGAGAGAAAAAGGGCAATTCATCATATGAGCTGCATTATTTTCAAATAACTTGTATGCTAATTAAAATGTTTATTGAAATCCTAATAGTAATTGATACTGAAAAGAAAACATGAATAAAATGATGTGATATATCATTTAAGGTGTCACAAGACACGTTAAAAATACCTAATGTTATCTGCCCATTTGAGGCACTGGCCTTAAATATTTCTGACCTTAAACGACAGTAAAACTCCATGTTACATTTCTGTAAATGCATTTATAGGAGTGTCTGTGTATATATGTCTACTGGACTATATCTATGTCTAGCTGTATATATCACTCTAAGTTTTTTTCCAGAAATTGATTTATCCTTACTATACATGATATAATCTGATATTTTCTGCTCTGTCCTATTATCAGTAATACTGGTTTCCCGTGAACTAAATTGTTTTTTCATGAGTGGGTCATAACCTCAAGTTTGAAAAACACTGATCTATAGAACTTCACTTTTCAAATGCTTGCTGCTTATTTCT